AGAAGGAGAAAGGAATTAATTTACCATGAGACAGTAAATGAAACCTAGAAATTACTGGGTTTTATTGAACATAGCTCTCCGGAAAGGCACTAGGTACTCAGAAAATAATTTATAATCAAGTGTCCATTATTTGCCTTCCTTCCCTGTTATCAGCAGTGTTGACAGCTTTAGAGTCCTTGCAGCTTCAATTATTTCTTTTTCTTCTTATTGTTTCAATCCTTCCAAATTTATCTCATATATATATATATATATATATATATATATATATTTTGTCCTCACCCGATGACATTTTTTTGCATTTATCTTCAGATAGAGTGGGAGGGATAGAGGGAGGAAGAGAGAGAGAGGAACATCGACGTGAGAGAGATACATTGACCCCAACCGGGCCAGGACAAAGCTGCAACCGAGGTACATGCCCTTAGCAGGAACTGAACCCAGGACTCTCTGGTTCGCGGGCCAATGCTCTAACTGTTGAGCCAAACTGGTCGGGGTGCAAATTCATCATTTCTTTACCTTCAGTCTATAAACATCCCTAAGTTCCTGCACCTTAAAAGCAGAACATAAAATCACCTTCCTGCCCTGGCCAGTTTGGCTCAGCGGTTAGAGCGTCGGCCTGTGGTCCGGAGAGACCCGGGTTCGGTTCCCGCTAGGGGCACATGCTTCGGTTGCAGTTTGTCCCCGGCCCTGGTTGGTCGTGCGGGTGGCAGCCACTCGATGTGTCCCTTCACGTCGATGTTTCTCTCTCTCTCTCCCTCCCACTCTATCTGTACAAAAAATGGAAAAATATCCTCGGGTGAGGATAAAAAAAAAAAATATATAAAATCACCTTCCTTGTCCTAGTTTACCTTTTATATAAAACCCTAACTGTTCCTCTCAGATAAATGATAGTATATATTCTGTTTTCAGTTCTTTCCATTCACTTCTTATTCTATAGGTTTCAGATATCTTCCCTCATCTTTCTACTGAATACACTTTTGCCAAATCACTAATAACTTTTCTCTGTATAAAAACAGATATAACACCTATATGCATATAGATGCCTATATACTATATACTATATGTATATTTTATTTTTATTCTGATTCCTAAATAACATATCTTTATTTTAAAATGGCAAAACCTATAAAATTAATATAATAGTAAATGTAATGCATTATTCTACTATTAAAATGATGTTACTATTTTGGTTTACTTCTTTTCCATTAAAATAACAGGTAGAGAAGAATTAGAAATTATGGAATTCTTTAAACTTCCTGTGCTGAATATTTGAATGAAATAGAGACTTTTAGCTGTGAAGAAGAGAATCCCAGGTCTTCAGATTAAGCACCCCTCCCTGTGTGGAGAAGAATGTCAAAAATAAGAGCTGGGTTGCAACAGTGTGTGCTAATGTCCATTCCTTGCACCACTCAGATTCTCTCATGGCCCATGTTCAACTTATTTCATCTTGTCCCTGATATTTTAAGATTGTGGTTAGTTAGGAGTCAAAAAATAGTGGAAACACTAGGGTTAGAGACCTTACAGGCCTTGCTACCCGCAGTTGGTCTTGAGGCCATAGCTGATATGCATCATTTTTCTCCTTTGCTATTCTGGCCGTCCCTCATCCTTGGCCAGCACGTCTGTTGATTTATTGCTTGCCCCGTGGTGTAAGCCAGGTCTCTGTTTCTGTGATGTTTGAGTGCCTGGTTACTTGCTCTTAGTCAGGCTATGATTGTTGAAACTGTTAATTCATGATTATCACTGGGCATAATGAAATAACAAGGAGGCACTCCATTGAAACTGCTTCGTCTTTATTTGTCCTCTTTATATAGTAGTAACTCTACCTCCCCATGGCAATTAGGGCCAATTAACCCTACCAATGTAGTAATTTCTTTCTTTGTGGCCTAGTTTTCTGGTTGGGAGTTCAAAATAACCAGATGGCACCCATACATAGCATGAAGTTTGGCAGAACCTATATTGTTTCTCCTGGTAGCAGCAGTAAACACTTAAAACCTAAAAACCACAGTGAAAACCTCTAACTTTGGCAGTGGAGCCTAAAGATGTGGGGATAGGAAGCACAAATTCCCCAAGTGTGTCCCTGGGAGTGACCAGAGGGGCCAATCCGATATCCATACCTTGTATTTCAGACTCTTGTATCCTAGCTATTGGGAATACAAAATCATATATGGCCACTGATTAAAAATATGTATTACATCTTAAAAGACAGTGCTGCAACACTGTGATGTGACACCTTTGAGAGTTTCTTCATCTTGAAAAACCTTATATGATATTTTATTCTTCCTTATGACTGGTCATTCTTGATTTCTTCTATTTTTGAATTTTTCATAACTTCGATCTATGAAAATAGCTTCAGAGTCTCAAAGGCCTGTTACCTCCATGTATTGACCATCACAATTTCTCCATTTAACAATGAAGCTGCAGTTAAAATGAGTGAAGTAAACTGACCAGTTACTGAGTAACAGGGCTGGATTTGAAACAATTTTTAGTGCTTTCCCCATGGACATTGGTTAGTAGTTTAGTAGGGGACAAATTATGTTAACTTCAAGGTCACCATTTACTGATATTTATAGAGCACAATTAAAAAGATTCTTTTAAAAATACTTTAAATCTATTTTTCTTTTATTTTTTTTCTTAAAATTGTCCAGGTAGTCCAGAGGTCAAGTTACTTTCATTTTATAGATGAAAGGGACACACAGAGGTAAATGACTCACTGAAATGATGGTCTTGAGTTCTAGAGGTAACACTTTGTCTATTAAACTGATGTCCAGTTACTCAAATAACAATATTAAACTATTGATAATATGCAAAGAACCTATGGTAAAATGAGAGCAGTCGATTAATTATGTTATCCAATGAGTTGGGTTTGTTTAGGGGCTGTCATAGAGATATCACATTTATGGGGACTCCTCTGTCTAAAAAGGACAAGGTCAGGAAGAAATGTAGCAGAAGTTCAAAATTATGAAAACCATGGCTAAAGAAAAATTTGGATCAAAGAAGCATTCCTTAAAAATTTGAGCATGGCAAATTAAAACAACAATGAGGTATCACCTCACACCTGTCAGAATGGCCGCCATCAACAAATCATCAAACAACAAGTGTTGGCGAGGGTGTGGAGAAAAGGGGACTCTAGTACACTGCTGGTGGGAATGCAGACTGGTGCAGCCACTATGGAAAACAATATGGTGTTACCTCAAAAAATTAAAAATTGAACTTCCATTTGACCCAGTGATCCCACTTCTAGGAATATACACTAAGAAGCCTGAAACACCGATCAGAAAAAATATATGTACCCCCATGTTCATAGCAGCACTATTTACAATAGCTAAGATCTGGACACAGCCCAAATGTCCATCAGTAGACGAATGGATTAAAAAGTTGTGGTACATATACACAATGGAGTACTATGCAGTTGTAAGAAAGATCTCTTGTCCTTTGAGATGACATGGAAGAACCTGTAAAGTATTATCTTAAGCGAAACAAGCAAATCAGAAAAAGACAAATACCACATGATCTCACTTATATATGAAATATAATGAATATAACAGTCTGAGGAATAGGGTAGACCCAGAGACGTGGAAGTAGGGTACAGACTGACGACCCTCAGAAGAGGGAGTGGTGGGGGGAGGGAAGAGATAAAACACAGAACTTATATACATGTACACATAACCAATAGAATAGACATGGACAACAAAGCCGGGGATGGTGTGGGGGGTGGGAGGGTGTCAATGGGGTAAAAAAGGAGAAACATCTGTAACAAAAATAAAATAAAAATAATAATAAAAGAAATAATAAAGTAACAACAAAAAAAAGTTTCCAATAAAAAATAAATAAATAAAAATTTGAGCATGGTAGTACTTTGTATAGTACAAAACATTTGTAGAACATAGTATCCAAGGATGGTAGTAGAAACACAGTTGTTTTTAAAAGTGGTCATACAGTTTTTGCCCTGGCCGGTTTGGTTCAGTGGTTAGAGCGTTGGCTGGTGGTCCAGAGAGACCCGGGTTTGGTTCCCACTAAGGGCATGTACCACGGTTGAAGTTTGTCCCAGGCCCTGGTTGGGTTGTGTGGGTGGCAGCCACTCGATGTGTCCCTTTCACATCGATGTTTCTCTCTCTCTTCCTCTTTCCCTCCTACTCCATCTGAGCAAAAAAAAAAAAAAAAAGTCATATAGTTTTTGAATGTCAGAGACACACATAGCTGTCAATGTAGTTAGAATATATTTAATCTTCAAAATGAATGTCAGGGAGGCCACTGTGACCTACCACTAGGATGAACAGATGGAGTATAGGTGTGACCATCAATTCCATACTCCTAAGATGGAGGCAAAAGTTTTAAACATTTATCCAACAATCCAGTGCAAACCAACTCCTATTATTTTTACATCCTGAAAGCAGAATTCCTGATACCTTAATAAATGATTACTCTTGGACAGCTACATTTGTCTTAGTCTTAATAGCCTGCTTCATCCACTTTACTTGGAGTTGATTTTGCCTTACAGGAAACAACCATTAAAGTTTCTTTTTCTTTTCCCAAGATTTCACAAATAATCAAGAATTATAGACAAATACAGAAAGGCCTATGTTAAATAATAAGTGAAAGATATAACTTAAAATGATGTCTGCATATTGACAGCACATTGATATACTCTATACAAAATGATGCTGGAGAGTTTACAGTTGGTGATGGCAGTGGTTTCCAAGAAACTTACTTTATCAGACCTCTAGAGGGCACTAGAAACCTTTGTTTTGAACAAAGGCCCCAGATGATTCTAGGTTTTGATTAAAAGTGTGGTTTGGGGAAGTACTTTTAACCCTCATTGTGTGTCAGATGACATTACAATAAAATTAAATTATAAGTCATATAGTAGAACAAAAATAATTTCTTTCTGTAAACTATTAATAGATACCTAAGCATCATATGGTTTTTAAAATGAGATCATGTGTATATAGTTGTATTTATAAAGATAAGTACACTAATCAAAAGCTATGCAACAATGAGAAACGTTAACAGAAAACCCAAATACAAAAATATGAAGATACAAAGACATTTCTTCGACCACCAAAAACAACCAATCTTTCAGTCCTTCTCCTGTATATTATTCTGTATCTACATTCTCTGTATCTGATTGGATCCCTGGATTTTTTATTTTTATTTTCAGAGTAATGTTTTCCACAGATATGTGTCTTTGGTTGCTGTTTTGCAGGTGGAACTCTGCTTTGCAGGGTGTCCACTGTTAGTCTGGGGTAACCTGGAAACACTTCTGAAAATAACATATCTATCTATCTATCTATCTATCTATCTATCTATCTATCTATCTGTCACCTATCTATCATCTATCATTACTGCAAAATTATCTCCTTGCCCCATTTCTCATATAAATACAATTCCTGATATTTTTATCATGACCTTTCTCAAATTCATGCAATTCCACACATGAAAAACTACAAAGATAAATCGGGTATTTTAATAGAATATTGAAAATCCAGTAAAATTCTCTGGTCTTGTTTGCATTTCTTAGAATCTTACTTTAAATGATGGATGCCAAAAGATTTGCATTTAAATTACTTTTACATGCTGATAAAATCTCATGACTTTTGGATACTGAGGTAATGAAAAAACCCTCCATCAGATAGTCCTCTATATGGAGTCCATAATAAGCAAATTATATAGTAGACTATAGCTCACAGCAGTCAGAAAAATCCTTTTCTTTTTTTGTGTCAATTGGTTAGTTGCTAAGGAAACTGGTTTAACATTATTTCTTTTTTTTTTTATCCTCACCCAAGGACATTTTTCCACTTTTTGTTCAGATAGAGCGGGAAGGAGAAAAAGGAAGAGAGAGATAGAGATAGAGATGGAGATGGAGATAGAGAGAGAGAGAGAGAGAGAGAGAGAGAGAAACATCGACGTGAAAGGGACACATCGAGTGGATGCCACCCGCATGACCCAACCAGAGCCGGGGACAAACAGCAACCGAGGCACGTGCCCTTAGCGGGAACCTAACCCGGGTCCTTCTGGACCGTAGGCCGACGCTCTAACCGCTGAGTATAACAGGCCAGGGCTAACATTATTTCTTTATTTTCCCTTTTATGTCACTGATTTTGGTGTGCTACAGTAAGTTATCACTGTCAATTCTTTGTGTTTTCTGTCTGTACCGCAGGCCGACGCTCCAACCGCTGAGCCAAACGGGCCATGGCAATTCTCTGTGTTTTCTGAAGATCACCCAGCCTTCTACACACACAAAACATTTTAGTCAATGCAGATCAGTGGTTTGTTTAATTGGTTATTATAGAGTATATTCAGGTTGGAATAAACATTTGCTTTTGTGAAAATTTTTGTTTTCCCCCTTCATATTGAACATTTTGACTACTTTTAAAGGGCACACAGCTATACATCTGCGATGTCAAAATCATTGCTGTTAGGGTTAGACAGCTCGTTTTATGTGTCGAAATGGTTAGTTTTGGAGATTTGGTACTATATGCAACACAGAGTTGAAGTTCTAATTCTGTTAAAAACAACATGCTGTGAATCTCCAAACCTAAAAAAGACAGAATAAGCAAATTATATAGTAATTTAATTTGTGGTGTGGGGTCTGGCAACATGCTGAAGCCATAACATTCACAGATTTACATCTGATCTCAAATACTGAAAAGATGAACTTTGATATAAAATTTAAATGATTGAAATGGAAACTATAATGTTTAATATTATTAAATGACTAAACAATTTCTTTTTAAACTAAGGGTGGTGGCCTCCAGTTAAGTTGACACTTTTAATGGTTGAAATTGCCATTTGACATGTCACATTTATATAATCTAATCCTTTGTTACAGGAAATAGAATATTAAGCAAGAGTCTTAGCTGTCAGAGAAAGTTTCACTATGATAACTTGTATCTCTAGGGTAAAGAGAGATGTGGGAAAAAGAGGTCAAGAGTATCTTAACTTTGAATTATAAAAATGTGACAAAGAAAATGGATTTAAAAATAACCATTGTAGTTTTTAAATGTATTGATCTGCTATTATCTGGAAAAAAATCCATGTAATGAATTTTCAGTTTGAGTTTGAAGGCAAGAAAAAAAGCTGATGTCCTAATTTGAAAGCAGTCAAACAGGAAGACTGCTCTCTTACTTGGGAGTCATCCTTTTTGTTGTATTTAGGCTTTCCACTGATTGGATGAAGCCCACCCACATTAAGAAAGGCAATCTTCTTTAATTAGTCTACTAACTTAAATATTGATCTCATCCAGAAACACTCTCATAGCAACACTGAGAATAATGTTTAACCAAATACCTTGGCACCCTGTGGCCCAGTCAGGTTACTGCATAAAATTAACCATCACACAGTATAATGAACTTTTGTTATTTACATACTAACAAGGAACAACGTGTGCAAGACAAAAATTTTTTTTTCAAATGGACTTCAATATCTCATCTAAAAAAGTAGTGCCTGATATTTGCTAGACATTTATTTATAAGAAGTATTCATGGCTCACTGCAGTGGAACTAAATACCAAGTCCTATACTTTGAGACCTGATAGGTAAAGCCTTTGAAATCGCCTACTTTCAGACCTGAAAAATCACACATAGTTATTTTGGCCAGGATCTGGATGGATTCCTCACTAGGGGGCTATATAAAAAAGACCAAGAGTGCCTGGCTGGTGTGGCTCAGTAGATTGATCATCCTCCCATGGACTGAGAGGGTCCCTTGAATTCCTGGTCAGGGCACATGTTCAGGTTGCGGGCTTGATCCCCAGTAGGGGGCGTGCAGGAGGCAGCCAATCAATTTCTCTCTCTCACATGATATTTCTATCTCTCCCATCCTCTCTCTCTAAAAAATCAAGAGCTGTCTATGTGCTATAACTTCTGACAAAAGGTGAAAAAGTTATGTATTATAAACAGTTCTTTCAGAGTATAGGAAGAAAGCATGGGCAATTAGTTAAGATTAGATCAGAATGGTCAAAGGATAGGTCAGAGAGATGTGTCTCCAAACTGCTGCAAAGCTTTCTTGTGGGAACACTGTCCTTGTTTTCAACTCCTGTATGGGCAGTTGTGAGGGCTCAAGCTAAACGGATACAGTTATTTGGAAACTGTGTTTCTTTGTGGCAACAGTGAGAATGCAGATTAGGGGATCTGGAGGTGGCAAAGGGGGCCTGGAGATGGTCTGTGTGCCTGACGTCCACGTTTCATCCATGACTGGTCCAGACTAACACCACTGTGCGCAGGAATCCGACTAAGACGAGGGAGGGGAGGGGCTGTAAGGGCAGCACCTCTGCACGAGTGTTCTCGTTGGCCTCCTTCCTTGCCTTATTGCCAATTAGAACAAGGCCTTCAAGAGCACAACCTTTGCAGTACAGGTAGAAGGGAGATTGACAGGTGGCTGAATGTCAGCTGGAAGATTCAGCCACCAGCTGGGACTCAGTGACCATGTTTTTCCCCATCAGGCCCTGCCTTTCTAGGATGTTGCCTTGGAACAAGAACAGGCTCAACCGTCCACCATAGGAATGTGAGAGGGCTGATAGCTGAACTCTGCAGACACCTCCAGAGGCCAAAGGGCAAGCAGACACCCCAGCCTGTCTCTTGCTCTGCACCTGGGGAGATGGATGCTACCTGGGAAGAAAGCACATGGATAAAACACATATGTGAGGGAGGTGGGACTTCCTGTGTTCCTTTTTGTTTTCCACTGCTAAAATTGCACTATTTATTGCAACATAAAGAGTATTCTGAAGGTGGGGAGGAGTGTTTAATACACAATGCCATTAGTGACTTTGAGCATTTTTTTCATATGTCTCTTGGCCATTTGTATGTCCTTTTTGGAGAAGTGTCTATTCAGGTCCTCTGCCCAATTTTTAATTGAATTGTTTACTTCCTTTTGTTGAGTTGTATGAGTACTTTATATATTTTGGAAATTAACCCCTTATCAGATGTATCATTGGCAAATATATTCTCTCAAACAGTGGGTTCCCTCTTCATTTTGATGCACACAGACAATAAGGTGGTGAAGACCTGAGGTGGGATGGGAACCGGGATGAGGGGGGCAATGGGGGTAGAAATAGGGGACATTTGTATTACTCTCAACAATAAAGATTTAATAAAAAAAAATACACAATGCCAGTACACCTTCTTGTGTGCATTTTTTCCCCTGATAATTCTGTTTTGATCTACCCATCCAGCATTTTGTTCTTCCATCAAATTTTATTATATATTCTTTTTTTACTGCCTCTCCATCAGTGAGATTCTGGGGAAGCTCTCTGCAGCTCCACCAATGACAGGGACATAAAATGACTCTCTAAATAGCATGGAAACCTCAGCTACCCTCTGAATTTAGGGTAGAGATTTCTGTTCTCTTCTTGTCATGGATTAGGAGGTAGAGAACTAGGGTTAACCTTGGCTATCTATATGCAAGTTTTCCTTAAAGTGATTCAGTTGTTTCATTTGTATGAAGATATTGAGAAAGAATGAAAAATATAAAGCTCAGATCCCTGAGAGAGATTCTCTACTCTGACTGTTCATTGGAATCAAATTAGTTTTTTAAAAAAATGTATATGCTGCCCTGGTGAGTGCTATAAAGGGTGCAGTGTGGAGCCTGGCATGATATCCAGTTGAGGGGAGGGAGAGGGGAGGGCTGAGAAAATGTTGCAAAAGCATGAGCTATTTTTCATTGAAACAAAGGGTTTGGTTTTCTTGATGTATTAGAAAACCTACAATTTTACCAAGCTGATATCTCCAACCAAATCCCATATAAAACATTGGCTGGAAAGCTAAAAAAAAAAAAATTATATATATATATATATATATATATATATATATATATATATAAAAGATCAAGTCCCAAGTAATCAAAGCCAAGTGTAATTGTGATTTGGGTTTATCTCCTCTCTTAAAGATCATCTTTCTTTTAAAAAATATGTTTTTATTGATTTTTAGAGAGAGAGGAAGGGAGAGAGAGACAGAAACATCGATGTGAGAGAGAAACATCAATCAGCTGCCTCCGGCACTCCCATTCTGGGGGAATCAAACTGGGATCTCTCAATTCATGGGATGATGCTCAAGCCACTGAGCCACACCAGCTGGGCAAAAGATCTTTCTAAGGGCATCTCTGTCTCTTAACTATGCTTCATGAAACCCAAAACCATAACTTTGGCATTTCACGAGCAAGAACCACTTAGAAGTCTTTAGAAGCAGTGGGAACTCCAGACCTGGTCCTGGTGGTCTTGCTGATGGACTTGGCAAGCCTTATCATAAAACAAGGAAAACAATCAAGGACTTTGAGATTCTTG